CTTGCTCAAATGCTGGTCCAAACGTCTGCTCTGCATATTGAAGCGTCGGATGTGTGGGCTGTAGACAGGGTGATGTTCGTTCGAGGATACCGGCGAGGTGTCCCGGTCGCAAATGACGCCTGGTCTGGAGCTCGAGGAATCGAGCTCAAATTACGGTACGCGGCCGGTGCGTTTGTGTGGTCATGCGATGAAAGGTGATGGAAGTGATGATAAAATGGAAACGGCGGATGATTAACGACGACGAAAGTGAATGATTTTGCCTACCTGTTGAAACCCCTTCTCTTTTTTAGGAGTAGAAGGGGAGAAATTTTCGGGGGGCTCCCCCATTATATAGCGGACGACCCATGTCGGGCCAGGCGACGCTGCTGAGCGAAGGCCTGCAGTAGTAATGAAAAGCAGCCCGTATCTTCAGGCAAACACGCCTAGGTGATGATGGACGTTGGCCCACGCGTCTTAGGAAACGGGATAATGGCACGAAGTCACCTGACCAATTAGTCCCGCAATAGGGTTAGCGTCCTTCACGGCCCCATCTGGCCTGTCCCAAACTGGCCGTGATGGGCGGGTTTGTTGCAGGGCTGGCACTCCTCAGTGGGGCTGGCCACGGGCTGGTCAGCAGGGGTTTAATGGATTTCCAGGGCGAACTAACAGGGGGGCTCCAAGCCTGAGCCAGCCTTCCGCCAGGGATTCATGGTATCTACCCGGTACAAGCTGTCAGGCTCGTCGCGTCTTGAGAAAAGCAATGATGGTTTATACAGCTAGGCAACCCATAAAATATTTGAACGAGGCGATGTCTCTTCCGCTCTTTAGTGGTTTTCAATTGAGCTATTCGTCCAATCAAGATTCTACCAGTGGCTTCCTCATGGTCAATTGATGCAAGCAGGCAGATGTCAGTTGTCCTCGCACCGAATAAGCTCTTCCGAATTCCATTGTCAGTCATACTACGTACCCCTGGGGGAGTTCAAATTGCCGTTGCCGGCTGAGGGAAGACTGCCTATCTGGTAGGTAGCTCCGAACGCTGTCTTACCCCGTGGATCTTACCTGTCTCAGGGGGATGCTGGCCCGCTAGCTACTTAAGTAGGTACCCGTTTGAAAATGTCGAATTTTTAGGTGGTGAGCGAGGTACTTAGCACGTACGTACCCCATCCGTACTACGCTGTAGCACTCGTTGTATCACCATCACAACTCTGACTCTGCCCAGTCTCACGCGTCTCCCCGCCCGGCAGTGTCTGTGGTGTCACCCTCTGCGGGCAAACAGATTACCGATTACCTGCTTACCCGTGATTTTCAACCCTCCAGTCCATCGTCTGTGACGCATCAATCGGTTGCCTACTAGCTGGAAAAGAATGTCTCTGCTTCGACTCTACCACGCCACGGCTGGGGAAATGTCTGTCAGCACGACCCAAACCAAAAGACCCCAGCTTCGCCTTGCATATGCATCTCTCATCTTATGCAGCTTGCTGCTGACACTAGATAGGTAGACTAGGTACGGAGTAGACCAGTGCCGGACTTGATTCACATGCCTGCTCTGCTCTGCGCTGGGGGTGGGTCGGCAGCAACCCGGGGTGAACTCGGAGATACTCTACGTCTACACCGGGTATATGCATCCGGCAGCGTTGTCTCGCCTCCCTGATGCTATTGCGTCGAGACGGGGAGCAGGGGTCGGCAGCCGTGCACGACGGACTCGGCCTGGTGTTAAGATAAGAAGCGGTGCTGGCGCCCCAACCTGCCTCCAAGGCCCCGCGTTCCCTGGTATTTTGGCCGAGGTCGTGCCAAATCCTACTGTGAAAGTATCAGCACCCCGAGCCTGACGTGAACGGTCGGTCGGACCCCAACACGCCACGGCTGGACATGGACATCCAGGTCACAACAAGAATTTTCAATTTAGAGCCCTGCCGAGCTCAGACCGTAAGCCGGGTGTCCTGGGCACACCACTACCAGGTACCCCATCCATGTCACGATAGAAGGTAGCCTCACTGAATTCCTTTTTGCCTGGCTTGAATCACGTCGTATCACCCCTTCCACTGGCCATAGCACGAAAGTAAATGCCATTTATATCTATAAATCAGACTCGAGAACAGATACGAAATATCTCCACAATGTGTCCAACCCGGCACCCCCGACTTTTCCCTCCACTTTTTCCGTACAGCACTAACCACATTCCTAGTCAATACAATCCTGGATAGGATCCAAGATGTGGCTGTGAAGAGCCGTCCGCACACTGGTCGCCACTAGCCATATCTCACAGCTGATGCCCACACATAATGGATAGAGACCACGGAGTATATAGTGCTGCACGTGTCGATACGTGCCCGAGTATATACCGCGACGCCTCTACTTCGTCGCCTTCGGCTCACCGCCGCCAAATGTCTCGAAATCGGCCGCGCATCCCGTAGCGAGCCGACGAGCGGCGGGCTCGCCATCCTTGCGCTGTTGGGATTTTGTCTCGTTGGTGTCGTGGTCGCATTTGTCCGCGTGGCCCGCGGAGCTGCCGTTCGACTTGCCCGCCGCACTCATCTCCCTGTCGTACTTGTCCAGGTCGATGGGGCTCTCGTGGTACGGAGAGATGTAATGGTGACCGGCGCGGTCCCCAGCCCCGTAGGAACTGAGGCTCCTGGCACGCGAGTGCTCGCTGTCCCCCGTCGCCGAACGCCCTGCGGCCCACCGCCGGTGCCAATTGCAGCAGTCTCTGGTGCTCTATACCAGAGATGTCTTGACTTCATGGCACCGCGGGTCGGTTCTCCCGTATATGCACTCCTCCAGCTTGCCTTGCAGCTCGCATGGACAGCCGTGAAATCGTACATATGTTTGTCGACACATCTTCTTGGGTTTGTCCGGAGGCTCTGTGCTTGGTCTGTGGGTCGAAATCGAGTATGGGTGTGTCAGGATTGACTGTGACTGGCAACCTGTTCTTCGATAAAGTTAGTGTTGGTATATCAACAACATCCGGCTCCTTGCTGAAGGGAAAGTAGACGCGCTTTGATACAGACTGGGAATATGGGATGATTGTGACTTGGGTTTCGCAGTGCACACAATGTCCAAGATCTTGGACTGGGAGTCTTACCAGGTGATTCTCAATGTGATAGAGGTAGTCTCTGAGGATCTGTCTGAGATCAGGGGTTGGTCTTCGGATGTGAAGCTGAGGAGTGAGGAGTTGTTATTCTGGACCAAGGAAGAAGAAAGGGCAGCATGATTTATAATATAAGCTGCTAGATAATAGGGGCAACCTGCAAAACAAAAACAACAGCGCATTGACCGAGCCGTGAAGTTTGCCACGAGGTGGCCCGAGCGTCTTGTGTGAGGTTGTCTCAGACTGCTCAGATTTCATTCACCTACGGAAGAGAGGGTGGGGAATATATGTGTATTGAATGACTGGTTAAGCGATTAATGGGTCAGGACTTGTCAAGTATCATGAGAATGGCCCTGTGGTGCGTTTACAATGACAGGTCATTTGTTTGTCGTAAGCCGAGGCGGTGATATGAGCATGGCATAATTCACCAGTGCGAAAGCACACCATACATCATGAGTCTCACCATGCCGAATCAACAATGCCAGGCAAGTAATGAAAGCATGGAGATTAACGTGGCAGCAATCTATAGGTTTTCTGGTCGGCATATGCTGTCCGACAATGTGCGTGCGCATGTGGTGTAACTTCACATGGGGGTCAGGGTCATTGTCAAGAGCCGATTGCCGTGAGCAGGGAGCACGCAGAGAAAGCACGGACAATATAACTCGGACAATGACTATCATTCAATGCTTTATTCAATATCTTATTTGGCGAGTCTGGAAAAAAACACTCGAATGACGATGATAGTTGCTTGCATTTGACACTCGGGCCCGTGCACCAAATCTACCAGATCCAGGCAGCCGGGTCCTCAGGACAAGCTCTACAAAACAATGCCGACTCCGGGTCTTCTCCCTGGGTCCATCTAGGGGGTAATTCACCATTAGCTTACTTTTTTTCGTTCGAGTGGCTGACCTGGGAAGTGACTGGCCGATTTGCTAAGAGTGTCCAACCGCAGACAGGCAAAGGAGATGACGCGTAGAATGGAAGCCAATCCTCTCGAAGCGCGATTTGGCGAGGTAACCTATATAATGCTTCATTCTTCCGCAGTCGATAATCTAGCAATTGGACGCCGTCAGTCCTTCGGTTGGCGTGTAACCCATACCTACATGATGGTATAAAATCGGTTGCGCCTCTGTGGAACACCATATCCGCCATTCCGTGAGTCACCATATAAGGCAATGTCGCTTTAGTCGCGCTGTTGGTTCACATCTCCCTGCTTGGTTACTCTTCTTATACTAGACTTAACATTGGAAGCAGTGATATCCTGACTTATATGACTCCTCACACTTGTTCTGACTGAGAATGACAAGAGCTTCTCATGAAACCGAGCCAACAGCGTTTCTCACTCAAACAGAGGTGAATGGTTGGCTATTGCTGACCCTGAACTGCCTCGTGGCTATTTCTCGGCCTTGGAGAGGGGAAACTTATCCCTGGGCATAACGTTAGACTGATCTGAAACAACACCAGAAGGCTCGGGATGGGAGTTGTACCTCAATGTTCGTGATCAGATCCCATGACTGGTATCTATGATCTCATGATGGGTATCATTCCGCCGTAGTAAGTGAGCAGTAGCGTAAGTGTGTGCGGGTAAGAGTACAGAGTTACACCTATATGATTTCGAAGAATACCTGACAGGCTCATGAGAGTCTATGGGTAGAACCGATTACGTGTACATACTAGGGATGATCTATCTCCCCCTCAAAGCGTAGCTTGGCCCAGCGCTCTCACATATAGCCTCAGCTACAGTAGTTGATACTATTTCACATTTACTAAGACTACTGATCCAGAAAGTCGGGACCGTTTTCACTCGCCCTGTCATCGCCTCTTGTTCGCCCGTCAGTAATTAGGGTCACTCATATCGACAATCGCAAAACTAAATGACGAAAAAGTAAAAAAAGAAACGGAACACCAGATCAAATCGTACCGTTCGGTTACATGGACGAACGGGGAATTGAACCCCGGACCCCTCCCATGCTGTTCTGAGAAGTCAGAATATGCGAAGGGAGTATCATACCCCTAGACCATTCGCCCCGACTGATTGGTGGAGACCTGATTGACCGACGATCCGTTGTGCTGCATGTTGTATGTTGTATCGGGATGCCGGGAAAGAGCAGAGCCTGTAGCTCAGCGTTCGTGAGTCTTCCAAAGGGGAAGAAGCCTGTGTAAGTAGTACCTGGACTAGCTCTATCTAGCTCGTCTGATGGCTTGAGAATAGCTTGCCGACTAAGCCACCTACTGGTATGGGTTGTTGAGCCGGTGCGAGGCCGGTCCACTGCCAAGACAACTGGACGATGCGCTTAGTCCACGGCTTTGCGAGGAAGTTGTTATTTGAATGGATGAGTTGTCAGGGAAGATATCCGTAGTTTCACACAGGTGCCCGGTTGCTCGTGTCCTAACAACGCGACGAGTCACAGTAGCAAAATCTTTATAAGCCCGTGATGTGAAGGGCGGGCTGCATGTGACAAGTAGTGGCGATAAGGATGAGGGGTCTATGGCATACTATATCGCCGTGGCCGCAGTTCAACTTCAGCTGTCAAATTGCTGTTAAAAATAAGGGGCATTCACTATCGTCATTTCCGGTCTGTAGGTGTTTTCACCAGTGATACAGTTAGAGGATAAAGGGGGGATATAAACTACCAGTCACACTGGCGGCTGTATAGCACCTGTTACCTGACACATCAGTACCGTTAAACTCTCACATTGCGGATCCCGGCCCGTTTCTTCTACCCCGCCCTGAAAGCGGCCTGTCCCACGATGGAGAGATTAAAGGGCCCAAAACTTGGACAAGGGAAAAAAAAAAAAAAAAAAGGACATTAATATCCGGATGAAAAAGACGGGCAAAAATTCGGTTCGTCGACTAGGGCCTGATTCGAACAGACGCTCCCGAAGGAAGTAGATTTCGTGTGATTCGAGTCTACCGCGTTAACCACTCCGCCACCTAGCCATGGAGACATGACGGCACATTTGGGGTTCAATAGGCATGCTTCCGCCAGAGATGCGGATGAGCGAGAGAGGTCCCCAGTGTGGTTCGGCACGGCACGGCAGGGCTGTGCGGGAGCCACCATACTCTGAACCCTGAACTGACCCTGATCAAGGAGACGCCAAAAACCCCAACGATCAGACAGCCAACTCCGGAATGAAGGGAACATGGGCTCACCGTGTTTCTCTTCCTCCTCAGCATCTCTAAGTTAGTTGGTTAGTAGGTTAGGACTCGCATTCGGCGCAAGGTCTGGCTAGAGCCAACCATGCGCGTCCTCAGGTAATTCACACGGTGAACTTAGTATTACACCTGTCGATGTCGAGTACGGGTACGGTGCTGCATACGCAGGTACCCGACGAGATAGCTTTTGGGTTTATCGCCCCGATGAACCTTTTCCTCGTCCGATCATCCTAATTAACATCAATATTGCGTTGGTCAAAGCGCCTATATCTCCGGAACGGTAACACAGTTGAAATGTACCTAAGACATGAGTGAACATCAGCGATTATACAACGAAGAAAACGTCCCAATCTGCTTCTCTAATATGAGCACCGTTGTGACACCCTTGAACATCAACCAGTGTACCAGCTGATCTCGATTGGTCTAGTGGTAAGGATACCTGCTTGTCACGCAGGTGGCCGGGGTTCGATTCCCCGATCGAGAGCATTTCTTTTACCGTATACATATATCTACGATATTTTTTTTTTTCGGTCAATCGTCGTCGATAGGGATACCACTACGCACATATTCATGTTAATCCATGCGACGCGTTCTTGAGTCCCACAATCTTTTACAGTTTCAAGTTTTCGATTAAAGACACGAGTGATTAGAACGTCTAATAAATCTACCGGTATGTCTTCCCGTTTCAACGTACAAGAACGAAAGGAAGAACCACAAGCCAAAAAAAGCCGCCCACGCTTTATAGAGTGTTCAACGAGTAGAAGAAAATAATAATAATCTGAGCCTGCAGGTCTACTCAATCCTCTTCTTTCCCTCCTCTGCATTAAGGTATCTTGCCGTGCTCAGCCCACGCTCGTGTCTCGCGACGAAAGAGCCGATTACCTTGCCTTTCCGGATCTTTCCGATTGTCTCCTGGTACCCCTCGATGGCCCAGGGCCGTGGGTTCAGCTTTGGCCAGTTCACCTAAGATGGGATGGGTATTAGTAATTTCATTCGGTCCAGGCTAACTGCATCCCTGGCTGTTGATAATGGAAGTCACTTACAAATAACATGCCGTTTTGGAAGATGAAATTCAGACTCCAACCGGCTACTGTTAACCAGAAGAAGATGAATAGGCGCATTGGTAAGGTCGTGGAATCCGGTAGAGGTTTGCTGAACAAGCCCAGGAAGGCGAAGAATATGCTGAAAGCGAGAAGGTAGGGGATGCTCTGAATAAGGATTGGCCTGCGGTCCGCGAATATGAGCGACGAACCGATATTAGCCGTTGTAGGCTCATAAGCGCCTAAGAATAGGTCATAGGCATCTTGCCGGGGGCCGTCCCGGAAGTTGTTCAGATAGTATCGAGTTACGGCAATATTGCCGTCTTGAAGAGTACCTTGTTTAGTCCGCTTGCCCAAGCGTGTGAGGTCCGTTTTCATAGCTCCAGTACCAGCATATGCTTTGGACACCGTATCAGCATTATCTGCCCATAGATTACGGAAGAGGAATTCGAAGGCTGGATCTGCGGTGGCAAAGGTCTCCCCTCGTTGAAGGAGACCCGAGTCTATAAACATGCGGTCCAATGTCCACCTAGCAAGCATGCTCTGAACGACATTGGTGCGATCGAGCGAGTCCATGCAGTTTGTCCGTACGACGCTTGTCTGAAAGTTTCTCGTCTCCAGCCCACCGTTAGCGGGCATATCGACGCCTCGGAAATACTGTTGCGCTATCAACGCATCGTGGAGCTTATCGACGAGCATCATGGCGCGATGCATTTGAAGACCCTTGGTCTCGTGGTGAAAGTCAAAATAGACGTAGTGCAAGCGGTCGAATTCTTGCTTGGTGGTGGTGGGCTCGACGACATGAAACTTCTCGTCGGTGATATGATCCTTGGTGACCGACTCCGCTTTGGAGGTGACAAGCATGCTCACCATTTGTTCGTAGGCCTCCTTAACGCGCTTTTCGCGGCCCGTCTGATTGACGAGGTTAACCAAGTAATTGTCGCCGTATATACGGATCTGCTCGTCGAAATGCTTCTTGGCGGCGGAGAATGCAGGTTCTATTCCGCGAATCTGGATTTTGGGGGTGTACTTCAGGACGTTGATCTCAGACCAGTAGACGGGCACACTTCCTCGTGTCTGGACATAGGACATGATCTGCATTTCCCGTCCATCCGAGGCCCCATACTTGCCACTCTGCATGTCGGTGCTCCCCGCATATCCTCCCAGCCCGCCGCCTGTGTCGTTCAGGACCACGATCTGCTCGGTCTCGTTATAGTTGGCGGCATGCCCTTCCTCGTCAATGCCTCTGGTGAAATATCGGGTTCCAGCTCGGTATCGCGACTTTCTCGTGATCAGAACAACGGTGAGGGGGGTCCCCTTGAGCTTCGTTGGTCGTATTTCGAGTGTGCCCCATATCAAGGGTAGGATGAAGGGGTCCACGGCGGGTTGCGGGCCGTGCTGGGATCGGTTTCCCAGTCTTCGGAAATCGATTAGATCGGTCTGGACAAAGCGGTTCCAGAAGAAGCGGTCGTCGGCGCGCATCCAGAGAGGGGTGGCGTTGTCGACAGAAGCCTGCCTCTGGAAGCTATTGGTGAGATCGATCGAGTAGGAAAAGTACATAGGACCAGTCATGATGAAGGATTTCAGGAGAAACAGGAACTGGTCCTCGTCCGGGTCGCGAATCTGACGTTCTCGCATGGGTAGGAATTCCGTCGAGATGACCTTGTACACCATGTGGCCCTTGAGGCGGCCCACGGGCTGGGCTTTCGTGATGACGATGGCATACTTGTCTGTCCCCAACCGATCAGTGGCTCAGCGCCGGGCAGTGGAAGGGGGAAGGGGGAAGGGGGGGCCTACCTAATCTCAGACGGATAACGCCCAGGATCCCGGCTATGCTAGAGACGCGAGCGGCACGTTTGGTGTTCAGAGTGGCAGTTTCGCTCAGGCGCACATCGCCTGTCGGTCGGTCGATGACCAGAGCCGGAGCATTGGGCGAGGAGGGCGAGGTGAAGGTGTAGGACTCGGCGGCGACGTGGACATTGATGTCCCGGTACGGAAGTGTCATGATGGGCTAGCAAAAAGCATGAGCCGAGGCAAACTCATAGTCTAAAGGACGCACCGGGCTTGAATTATTAAGTGTAATCAGACGCTTTCTGGCCTGAAGCCTTTAGCGACAGTGTTGGTTAATCACTGTACGTAGAGCTCGAGTTGTGGCCGCAGTGGTGGGTTAAAAGGGACGTGGTAGGCCAGATCTAGGTATGTACGGAGTACAGGGGGTACGTATCTAATGTAGCTCCCGTGGCCTGAATCAGTGGGAAATCCCTATACGGTTCTACCTTCCGGCGGGTGCCTGGCTTGCGCTTGATAACAGGCAGGCACCTACCCTGCAGATTACCTAGGTAGGACTAGCGTGTCCTCCTTGTCCCACTCTCAACCTTCAGCGACCAAGGGTGGTGTTATAGATCACAACCTGTCAAACACAATAAGTATACCATCAATCCTGGCCGACACTCATGGATGGTGAATTTTATACAATTTTGGCATTGTTTCTACGTGTCACTAAACGGCGTCACAAAGTTCACAGGATAGTATATGATGTATTAAACATATGCTCGAGTCGGCGCTTCATTCGCGGGTTGACGATCGAGGCGCCATGGCCTTTTCTACTCGACCAGCTACCAACATTGCCCAAAGAGTTGAAACCGGTGTGGTACCGGCCCGCCAATCTAGGCTTCTAAATGTCGCCATTGAAACTAGCACGACTCTTGTCGTCGCATTGGCTTTTCCAATCTCTAGGGCTCCCATATGGACATCATAGGTGAGCAGATCAACACAGCATTTCCATCAGGGCATCGCGGAAACGGTACCTGAAAAACTGTGAATGATGGCTC